TTAGTAGAACGTTTGATATGAACTCATCAAACACCAACTGAATCGTCAGAGTCTTAGACTTCTAGAAACAGAGTATAGATCAACACTGATAACAAAGCAAGTGAGATTTTTCGCATTCGAAATACAAATCTGGAATTCTTTGCGTGCAACCCGACGCGTATTCAGAAACGCAGGTTATAATGGCTGTATTTGCCAGGACTCTACGAATCGGAAGAAATGCATTTTAGAAGGTGGAGAAAAAGCTGCATCGAATGATATCTGAGTTGCTAGCCGGTTGTTGTTCTACGAGATTTTGGTCAATTATGAATGCGATAGCATCAAAAAATATTTCAAGAATTGTAATTGGCAAGCAATATATGGAAAAGTAGAAAATTGTTCATCCAATGGGGTCAGCTATCCACTTGTAGCCAGGATTTCTTCGTGCATTCGATACGAAAGTTTGAAAAAAAGCGAAACTCGATCATTTCACAAACATGAGTTTTAGTTTTGGTTATTCTCTGAGAGCTCTTTGGTTAAACTAGAACAAGGGCAGTGGCGTACCCAAATCTCAGCTCGGGGAGGGGGGGGGGGACAAAAAATTTATTCTGTTGAGGGTGCGTGGCGTTAGCCAGGCACTCCGAAAAATTTTTTGGGATGCTTTCCGAATTTTTGCGCTACCCCGCCCCCCGAAAAAATTTTTATAAAGCGAAATTGAGTTTTTGAAAAATTCAAAAAATTATTCTAATTATCTACAAGTATTAAGTAAGTCATTTGCACGTTTTTGTAACTCATGTAGGTGATTTTTAAAAACTTCGCGATTCATTCTCGGGGGGGGGGGGCGTCCCCCCCCCTCGGTGGTGTAGTTATGCGGAATATTCCAAATATGGGAGACATGTGAAAGTGATTTGGCTTGGCTAGACACGTGGTAAAATACAAAAATACACTTGTTAGAATTTTTTTGAAGCCAGAAGTTCAAGGCAGTATCCGAGCAAATGTGGGCGCATGGTCTTTTTGCCGAAAATTGATGAGGGGGTCCTGCCACGGCACTGCCTGAACGGCAGCGCAAATGATTCGCTCATGACTGAGAAGTCCACCCCAGGAACTTCGCGCCTGCACCGTGACCATCGCAAATGACTTAGGATGGTCCCAACGCCATGGTGCCAAAGCGAGAAGTCAATTTCGTGTTGTGGTCATGGCGCAAGCAAAAGGTTTGACGACGCATTTCTCAGCCGTGAATGAATCATTTGCGCTTTCGTCTGGACAGTGCCTTAGTAAGGAAATCTCCATCAGGTTCCATTCGAAAAGCACATGAGCCCAAATCTGCATAGACATTGCCTCTCAAAAACAATAATGAACTAAAATCACAGGGCGCCTTTTTCAAGTTTCTGTGCGGAATGTGTTTTTTATGATAGGACACATTAGGTGGCAAGATTTTCGTGTTTTACTTACAAAGTTTTGATACATATATTTACTAGCGCGCAATCGTGTTCCTATAGGGCATAACAACCACCATCGGTCGTGGGTACCCGCGGGAAGAGGCTGCGAATGGCGCCATGCAGGCAGCGAAATTAATACCCGAGCGCGAAAGCGTCTGCTGGTAGATCTGTGGCTAGGGTTAAATTATCGCTGTTTTCCAAAATTTCTTGCTGATTTGTAAAGAAGCTTCTCTTGCGTATCTGGCGAACTTCATTTTGTACTTGATTGCATGTTGGATTATCATGTTCTCCATATTTCACGCGATATGAGCAGCATGAGCACCCTGAAACTTCTTTCCTTCCAAATCGGCAATGAAAAAGGTAATGCATCTTTGTGTGACTGTTCGAATTGGACACTTTGATTATATCAATTTTGAGATTAGGAGACTTGAGGACGTTGCACACGTTGTTTACAAACTTGAACATGTTTCTCTTTCAGTCTCTAGTAATAAACCAACCAAACTAGGGGTGAAAACCAAAAATATTTTCTCCTCATGCTTGTGCAAAGCGTGCTCGAGTCTTTAACTCAGAATGGATGATAATCTTCTGCCATGCATGAGCAAAAGATGCGCTTCACCATCCTGCTTGAACACTCTTCATAAACAGCGCTACCACCTGAATGGATAGTAATCGATACAAGCACGGAATCTGATGCCTAGCAAGGGACTAGAAGGTAAGCACGGGGTGAATTAACGCCATAACTCTAGGATCAAGGCTAGCTTTCGTGCTCGAGTGCAAGCTCCTTCGCTCGCGTCGCGCGCTGCCTCGTCTCCTGGGTACCCACTACCGATGGCGGCTGGTATGCCCTATACCTAGCCGTTAGTATTTTCGGCGCTATTTCAGTATCCGGGCCCCAAAATTTTTTTGTCGTGGATTTGCCTGAAACTTGGCCTCGGGGGGGGGGGGGGGGCTATTCGGCCCGCTGATGCCGAATATCACATTGCTTTTGTATGATAGCGTCATTTTCTGAAATTACGGTGAATGTATGGTAGGGAGTCAAAGTCACGGATTTGGCTGAAATTTACTCTAGGGGGATTATTCGACATGTTGATCACGAACATCACACTCTTTCTGCATTCTGCGGCTTTTTCATGGAGTTCCGGTAGGTGTACGGTATGAGAACAAAACCATGAATTTGCTCCAAACTTCGCCTAAAGAGGTTATTGAGCCCTCTGACATTAATATCATGCTGATTTTTCAGAAAAGCGCCATTTACTTGGGTTACGGTAAGTATACCGTAGATAAGTCGAAGTTCCGATTTTGCTTTCTTTGCCTAGAAGGGTTTTTGAGCATGCTGTTTATCATGAATATCATGCTCGCTCGCAATAACGCCTTATTGTGGAGTTACGGTAATTTGCAGCCTATGAATTATAGACATATTTCCGCCTTTTGGACCAATTTAGATCGTGGAATTCCGCAAGCTTTACCATGCGGAATGAGCACGATAGATCAGCGAGTCAGATATCCTTCCTGCACATATTTTCAAGCAGCTCTATGATTTTCACTCCCTACCATATGCCTACCTAACGCCGGACAAAAGTACTAAAACGCAAGACGAGCATGATAATCGTGATAAGCATGTAAAGTAACCCCCCTAGGCCAAGTTTCAGCGAATATCGTGATTTTGACCCCCTACCGTACACCCACCGTAACCTCAGAAAATGACGCTATTATACAAAAACAATGTGATATTTAGCATCAGCGGGGCGAACAACCCTCCTAGGCCAAGTTTCAGGCAAATCCACGACAAAAAATTTGGGGCTCGAGTACTGGAGTAGCGCCGTATTTTCTCAGTTTACGAATTCCAGAGTATGCATGTAATGAGTGCTTATGTGCGTACAGGGCTCTTAAATTGCAGAGTCGTTTGCACCAGCGGTCGCGCGACCGCGTCGCGCCCTGGCATTAATGGCGCCGCCTCGATCGACGGCGCCGGCGCCGGCAAAATGCCCAGGCGCGACGCGGTCGCGCGACCGCTGGTGCAAACGACTCTGCAATTTAGGAGCCCTGTATATCCCACGCTCAGCAAGTGGAGCTCGTAAAGCTTTCTGAGCGAAATTCAAACTTTGAGGCATTTGATGTTCGCAAGCGCGTAAATCCCAAATAGTGGCTTATTTACAGCGCACAAACAATCGCATGACACCGAATTTGTGCTATATGTAGCCAATATTACTTCAAACCACATCATGTAAAAACTTTGAAAGACTTATGCGTTTTAACAACCGTTTTTCAAATTTGTTGGCTTCTAAACCGATACCAAACCAACTGGGTTGGTTTTTGTTGGTCTAGAAGAACGACTAAAAATGTATCTCATGGTGGAAAGAGCGAATCTAACCATCACCTCTTTTTTGACCCCAAAAATATAAGCATACGCCAGATAGATATATGCTGCAATCACATGTGTCAGGGGGTCCTCTGAATATGTAGCGACATTGCTTCTACAAATTGTTGTAGGCCATAAATTTGGTTGGCTTATGGTAGGGGACATCTGAAGAGCAGAATGGTGTAATTCTTAATAAAGTTTGATCAACTTCAAATGTTTTTTTTCGCTTTTTTTATCGTATTAAATACCTGAAATTTGCTTCTTTGTTTTTGTTTTGTAATGTTGATTGAGTACAGTCAAATACCGAATATTGTTTGACGTCGAAGCGGACTTCGTAATTTTGTGAAGTCATGCGGAGCCTCATTTTGAGGAACGCTTCAAATCAACGCGGCCGGCCAGCTCGTAGTATTTCTGTGAGCATGCTTTGCTCTGTTCGGTAGTGCATCATCCATTTTTTATACTTTTGCTGCGGTTATACAGGCGATTTCCATGCATATATCGGGTGTGGCCCTGCAGACATTTTGACACGTTGGAAGACATGTTAAAGGAAGCGTCCGGGCAAAATTTCTCCTCTCATGTTTTTGCCATTCTCGGGCCTTTCCGTGGCCCTGATTACAGTTGTAAAGTCCAAATTGTTCAAAACTCCCAAAAAACCCGGTTCTTGGGGACCCTCTCTTCAAGGAGCGAACGAGTTTCGAATTGCTCGTCCCATCGTCATGCCAGCGGGAGGAGCTGCAACTGCACGGATGCAGTTGCATTGCATGTGCAGGGCAACTGCAATGCAACTGCAATGCAACCGCACACCTGCGTAAGCACTCGTCCTCAGGAATGGTTTGTGATACGAAGGGGCGGCTTCTGATACGTATCACAGGCCCGTATCTCCTTTTAGAGGGCACGTCAAAGGATTGGACCAACGCAGATCGGATACTTATGGGCCCCTCTTTACAACTATGTGCTAATCTTGGTGGATGGATCTTGCCTGGACGCTGCCTTTGAACCTCCATTTCAAAGTATTAGTTTTTGTACTCTCTCGGTATCAAAAACTGCAACGCGGAGATACGTTGGCAAACGTCGGCTAAGCCCCGCCCGCTATACTGTGGGAATAGACGATTGCAATAGAGATGCTTATTACTTTTGCACTAATCTAACCTGATTTTTCTGTGTGATTGTTAGTTTACGCACACCTTTATGATTTCTTGAACATTGAAATCAACATTTCTTTAACTCTAATTGTATACAGTAAGGCCGCCTCTACACTTCACAGATGCGGCTCTTAATAGGCGATTTGATCTCTTTGCTTCCTTCGCCATTTCATTCACCTAAATTCACTTATGTAAATGCAATAATCATCAGAAAAAAAATAGCAGCTTACCAAACTACAGTCTGGCACTTCCGACACGCCCACTTCCACTGTTAGCTTACCACCCGTATTGCGGACATTCACCGTGAACATACTTTCGATGTAGGGGAGATTGTGGCGCTTAAGCTGTTCCTGGAGCTGAAGAGAGGGAGAATCTTTAGTCAGCAAGAGGAATGCATATTTGCCTGAGCTTTTGCAACTTTGATGTACGTGTTTTTCAGACCCTCAACATAGTCTAGATTCGTGTCGAGAAATGTAAGTGCCCCGCGTCCGCTGAATGCAGGGCGTGCCTGAGAATTGAAATCTAGATTGAAGATCTCGAAGTTTGAAGTAGTCAAGAAAATTCACCTCCAAAGTTACAAAGAGTGCCAGAAGAAGAGTGATCGTCAGCATCTGGAAAAATAGTAAACGCACATTCTTTGTATTATTAGCTGCACTAACAATCAATCACAACTTCTCAGAACAAGATGGGACATTTCATCTTCAAAATTGATATCTACAAGAATAACTTAGAATTTTTATTAGGCAAAAGTGCAGTCTGTGACATAGTCACTTTATGATAATTTTATGCTACTTCAAGATAAAACATTCAAGCTGTGTAGTTGATAAGCTTTGGTTCGTGTTTGAAGCAACAAAAATGGAAAATGGAATTAGATACGAAAAGAAGGGAAAACCACCAGGGGCTTTATACCAAATGTTGGGATGCAAATGCGATTTACAGTCGCATATCAAAAAGGAAAAGCGTTTATTGTGAGAAAGTGCTAAAGTTTCAATGCTGCGCTCTCTTTCCAACTATCAGGTTCCTAGCGCATGAAAAGTATAATTTAAAATAAGACAAAAACAAATCTTGGTCAACAAAAAATATTTTGCGCGCAGTCGTTATCAATTACTTGGTTCACATGTATATCTTTATCTTTATCTTTATCTCATATACGAGTGCCCAAGCCTGTGTGAGTAAAGAAAACATTGCTAGAGTAAGATAGACTAGCCTATTACCTATCAGCAGAACAAACAAACAGCGAATAAGGGTCAGGTGTTGAGGAAGAAAATTTTCTATTTGGTCAAGGGAGGTCAGGTGATTGGCCTTGGGAAATGCCACTGCCACTTTTATGGGCTGTCCAAAACGTCTGCGACTGGTTCCTGCCAGGTACCCACCAACCTGACACCACCGACTCTTGGATACACCTGCCTTATTCTGGGAAAATCATGCATGAAACGCAGCTGTCTGCGGTCCCAAGGAGCGGGAGATGGTCAAGGGGCGCGATTTCTTCGGTTGTCACCAACTTGAATCTTCAGTTTAATGCTACGCAGGTCTTCAAAAATTACCAGATAAAGGGCATTAGCTTACCATCTGCCTGAGGTCACCATTGCTGAGTTTCATGGTTTCTGCCATAAATCGGACTGAAATACTTACGATTTTGTTCTGAGATGAGTTTCATTTCATGAGTTTTTGACCTTCAAAATTGCTGTTTTGAATTTCTCTAGAGAACCAAGGTTGAACAACTCATGCAACTATCTATACCTTCTTCTAAATTTTATATACTTCTAGAAAGTTGCAGAACACTTATTATGTGCTATATGGGGTCCAGTTGGCAATAAAAACGCGCCTCTTGACATACACCCCAAGGAGCAGTGCTGTTGCCCATCCGAAAATGGGTGGCAAGCCAGCAATGCATGGTTAGTAAACACGATAAACCAAGAAACACGAATACGATAGATCGAAGAAAACCCATGAAATCATTAACCGACGTTGTATGAAAGGACTTCACGAAAGTGGCTGTCGTAAAAGCGGTGGGGAAAGCAAAGTCCGAAACCTATGAGTCGACAAGCGGGGGTCCGCAAGAAATAGAGCAGAAGCAAACAGACCTGTAATAAAAACAGACCAGAAACGGGTCAAAAAGGATTGTAATTGGCAAATGTCAACTTTCCTCAATTTCTCTTCTTACATATAAAGCTAAATGTCTGTTTGTCTGTCTGTCTATATGTCTGTCTATCTGTATGTCTGTCTGTCTGTACGTATGCCGAATAGAAAATTCCATTTCTGAACAGATCCGGACCAAACTTGATACACATACACATTGGGGCCCGGCGGGTGTCATAGGCTACTTTTCGTCATCTATCGACATCGATTTTATCGATTTTCATCGATTTTTTGCAGAGTTTACCTACGGGGCTGGGAGTTGGCACAGGGGGGTAAGTAAGTGAGCATGGGGATTCCGAACACAATATTAGTTTCTAGATTTGTCAATTACTTTTATCGATTCTATCGATTTTTTTGTAAAGTTTTAACTGCGGGGCTGGGAGTTTGCGCAGGGGGGGGGGGGGTAATCGAGCATGCTGATTACGAGAACAATATTAGTTTGGCGCTATTAGGATATCCGGGCCCCAAATTTTTTTTAGTCGTAGAGCTTGCTCAAACTTCGTGTATAAGGGTTATTTTACATGCTGCTTACAGATATCACACTTTCTCCGCAGAACGTCTCCCCGTGTAGTTATGGTAGGTGTACGGTAGAAAGTCAAAATCAAGAATTGGGCGGAATTTCGGTCCAGAGAACTTATTCGACATGCTGATTACGAATTCCCTCTCTCTGCATATTGCGACCATTTCATAGAGTTATGATGGTTAATATATGGGGTCGAAAACATAGGTCTGCTTTAAACTTCGTCTAGGGTGGTCATTTAGCGCGCTGAACATGAATATTATGCTGATTTCGCAGGATAGCGCCATTTTCTTGGGTTACGGTGGGTGTTAGTAGATGGGTCGAAGTTCCAGATTTGCTCAAATCCTTACCTGAAACGGTTTACAAGCATGCTGCTTTTGAATATGATGCTTGCTCGCTGTCTTAACGCATTATTGTGAAGTTATGGTGAGTTGCAGGGCTTGAATGGACATTTTTTCGCTTTCGGGCCAATTTAGATCCCAGATATTCAAGAGGTAGGGAAACGGTCGTTTTGCATGGCGGTCTTCAGCGCCATCCTGATAACCTGTCCCAACGTGTAATGCACGCGGCAAATCTCCCTCCTCCTATTTTTGCTTAGGCAAAAGCCGGCGAAGGTTGTGTCGCGCGCGGCAGTGGTCCTATTAGGAAAGCATTACGGTCGTGGGAAACTTTTATACCACACGGCCTCTATCGTGGGGATTAAGCACGATATTGAAACAGCACTTCAGGTAATTCCGTGCCAAGGTTTCAGGCAGGTTCATGATTTTTACCCGCTGCCACGCGAAATGACTACGATATTTCTCATCAGCGGCTTGAACAACCCCCATATACCGAGTTTAAGCAAGACCCACCACAAAAACATTTTAGGGCCCGGATAGCCATAAAGCCATCAGTTTTCAAAATCATCCTTACTTTTATCGATTTTATTGTTTTTTTGCAAAGTTTGAGCTACGGGGCTGGGGGTTGGTGAGGAAGGTAGGTGAGCATACTGATTACTAACACAGCGGGAATAGGGAATTGCATGTAGAAGTGGGCACAGGGAAATTGTACAGGGATAGGAGTAATTTTTTATCGTTTTTGACAGGGCCGGGCGGAGCCGGGTAAGCCAGCTAGTTCTTTATAATTTTCAGAGTCAATCGACTCATGTTCTTAACTTTGGTTCGAATAAAGTCTCTAATGTAATATAGATGCCAGTTACTGAATTGTTTAGATGACAAAAATTTTGCACTTCGAAGAAATGGCCACCACAAGCCGCACCATCAACTCCATCCCAGAAACCAGCCCCATAGAGGGACCAGTACCAGCAGTCACGGAAGAGGAAGTATGGCTGGCCATAAGAAGAACAAAGAATGGCAAAGCGACTGGTCCAGACGACATACCAAGCGAGTTCTGGAAAATATGTGGACAATCCGGAGCCACATGGCTAGCGAGTCTCCTCAGGAGTATGCCTCGCGCCTGGTACACCAGCACGACCATTCCGATATGGAAGAACAAAGGAGACATAGCAGACTGCGCATCCTACCGACCAATCCGACTGATGAGCCACACTCTAAAAATCTTCGAGAGAGTAATCGAAACACGCCTTCGAGATATCGTAGAGTTGTCACCGAATCAGTGACAACTCTACGATATCTCGAAGGCGTGAAAGGAGTAGGTACAACTGAAGCAATCCACTCCGCTCGGATGGTGATGGAGAAATACAGAGAGAAGCAGAAGGAATTGCATGCAGCCTTCCTGGACCTAGAGAAAGCCTTCGATAAGGGCCCCATGAAGTCATGAGGCCACTGAACGTACTCCTCTGGCACCCTGTGTTTCCGTAAGGCCCCCATGGTGGGCCTTACGGAAACACAGGGTGCCAGAGGAGTACGTTCAGTGGATAAAGTTGATCTACCACAACGCGTCAAGCCACGTGCGAACAGCTGCAGGGCAATCGAAAGAATTCGAAATCAAGGTAGGAGTACACCAAGGTTCAGTTCTCTCTCCCTTGCTCTTCATCACGGTGATGAACGCCGTGATGGAACCGCTCAGACGTGAACCCCCTTGGACACTTCTCTACGCAGATGATGTGGTCTTGATAGCGAGTACCAAAAAGGAGCTACAAGACGAGGTGCAAAACTGGAAAAACAGGCTAGAGTTGTATGGCCTGAAGCTCAACATCAGGAAGACATAATATATGGAAGTGGGGAAAGAAACTCCAGGTACCATAAGCATCGATGGTGAAGAGCCAAAGAAGACAACGTCATACAGATACCTAGGCAGTCACATCTCAGCGGAGGGAGCCTTGCAAGAGGAAGTCGCAGGCAGGATGAACACAGCGTGGATGAAATGGAGAGCCTTCACAGGAGTTCTGTGCGACAGACGAATGCCAGTGCAACTCAAGTCCCAACTGTACCGGACCGGTTATCCGCCCAGCAGCACTGTATGGCAGTGAATGTTAGCCGTGTATGCGGAACGAGGAGCGCAAGCTCGGTGTCATGGAAACAAGGATGCTACGATGGACCTTAGGAGTCACACTGAAGGATCACATCTGCAATGACACTACTATACGAGCGCGAATGAAAGTAGCTCCAATTGCCCAGAAAATGCAGGAAAAGAGGTTACGATGGTATGAGCATGTGCACAGAAGGGAAGCCACATCACCAAGTTGGCCCTGGCTATGGAGGCACCAGGTAAAAGGCCCAGAGGTAGACCCAAGATGAGGTGGATGGACAGAATCAAGGCCGACCTGCGAGAACTTGGTATAAACGAAGACCTTGCCTCAGATAGGATGACATGGAGACATCTGACAAGGAAAGCAGACCTTGCTTAAGCGGAACACATGCGAGGATTAAAAAAAATGAAAGCGTTTGATTTGATGGGTAACACTCAAAAAGCTATTTTTTGTTTGGCCTCTATGAAAGATTCTAGTAAAATCTAATCTTAGTCTTGCTTTGATTTTGTAGGCTTCTTCAACTTGAGAAATAGTGCTGATCGGCTTTCCTAGAGTAGTTGCAAACTTTTACTATTTTAAATTTCGATTCAAATAGTAGCTCAACTGTTTTAATTGAAATGCAAATTCAACGAATGTTATATAAAGTTATTATCATTTGGAAAGCTTTTGAAGGTTTCTAAAAGTATTTCTCATATTTTGGTGCAAGACTCGTGTATCAACTCAGTGTTTTGATTTATTGTTCAGTCTTCGAAATACACTTGCGAAGAATGTAGAAATATTGGAAATGACAAATCTCAAGAAAAAAACAGATTGACTCATCACTAAACAAAATGACAGTGATTTGCCTTTGGACACAATCTTTCAGGTTAATCCGTAAAATCTAAACTTATTTCAAATTGCAGTTATTAGGATTTGGCTAGATTAAGGTAGTGGATAAATATGAGGTCATGGGTAGTAATTGGCTGATAGTACAGAATATAATGTTATACATTCAACTTTCACTTTCTTCATTTGTCAGCGCATTTCAAATGCAACAACTGATAGTACGAATATGTTTGGGAAGAGGAAAGAGGCAGAGAAAATTTTTTTGAGTAGAAGGGCGTAACGTTAGCCCCTTCTCTACAGAAATTTCTATCATTTCCAAATTTCTTGAGCGCTTGTAACCAAGGACTTTCGAAAAGGAGTAATTCGCCTCATCACTGATTTGAACATTCAAAAAAACTCAAAAAACTTATTCATAAGCAAAAACAAGAATTACACAATATCATACCACACACAGGCTAAGTTAAATTTGGAGGTCTTTTCTAGGGGAGGGGGAGTTACAAAGTCCACAACAATGTGTGAGGATAGATATTTTGCTGGCGTCACTCAGAGTGATAAGGTGGTCGTTGCAATACTGCAAGGGGGTTATCATACAGATTTTTTGAGGGCAACTCAATTTCACATTCATGTTCAGACAAATAGGCGTATGTGAAAGAGGACTCATTTTTGCCCTTACATTCGCGCGCGCTGAGCGGTCGGGTCATCGATCCCTCTTCCGTCCAATACCTTCCCCGGCTCAGCAGCTTCCTTATCCCTGGTTCTTCCTTATCCCCGCTCAAGGATCGATTCGTCTTGTATTCCTAGTCGAACTACTGAAGGAAATCGCCCTACACTGCCGTTATTATGGTCAAGGATACACCGGTTTACCCAATTCCTTCTGTGGACCGCCAGCGAAAACGAAGGCTGCAGTTTGATGAAACGCCTCCACGATCCCCTGACTTGGACGAGGCCGCCAATCGCTATTGCTGGACGATAATCTCCCGCTATATGCTAGGACTATAATCGGATACTTGCTGGAAAGTCGCAAACAAATGGAGTCGATTGTCAGAAGCAATCGTGAGTTGATGGACGAAATGAAAAAATTATCTGATGAGATCACTTCGCTCAAATCCGAAAACGATAGATTAAGGTTATCTCTCAGATCAAAAAACCAGTCGGAAGCCGAACCAACTTCTGTGGATCAAATCGGAACAAATCTTCCGAGTCAAACCGCCGCGGAACAAATCGGATGGCAGGAACAAGAAAGAAGACGATCGTTGGTACTGGCTGGAATTCCGGAATATCGTGGTGGACCAAGCAGCGTAAGAGTTAATCATGATTCGAATGGTGTTTGTCAGATTTTCGATTTTTTGAATATTGATTGTGCCCCCACTGCAATTTACCGCATGGGGAGACCTAGTTTTTCGCGGGATAGATTGCTTAAAGTAGTAATGCCTTCAACTTTTTTTGTTGAACTAACACTTAAGAGAGCTTATTTGATGAAGAAATTTCCTTACAAATAGGCATATTCATTAGGGCGTCCTTATCGAAAGCGGAGCGTGAAAAGCTCAAGCTAGAGAAAGAATTGCGAATAAGTGTTTCCAGAAATGAAAATGTTGATTCTCATGTTTCCCATGTTTCCCCTTCTGCTAATAGTCATATGGATGTCATCAATCATTCTTCCCATACTGATTTTGCTGATTCTTTAAACGCATAGTTATTCCTCGGAGAGAAGATAGTTCTTTTTCGTCTTTTTTGTGTTTTCTGACAAATATAAGATCATTGCAAAAAAATTTATCTATGCTCACATTGTAACGTGCCTTGTCGAATATTCTGCGTATGTGCGAACAGCGGGCTCTATGTTTACACAACGAGTGAGTAAGCAAACATTGCAACAGCGAAGCGATCGAACATGACGAAAACGAATTAGCAGAACAAGAGAAAGAAATTCATGGAAACTATCGAAGGATAATGGACCCGTTAGGAAGTTTGTGTATTTTCCATTAGGCAGTGTTAACCTGAACACTATTTTTATTATATGTTTTATGTGACTATGTATGTCTGTATCCATTAGCAGAACATATATATAAGAGACCGTAGGAAGCCTTCAGGGTGCATTCGTACTTTCTCTTATTCTTATTCGATGTAGTTTCTCAACTTCCTTTTCGAATTCTCCTACCTTTGTAAGTAGCGACCACACCTTTATTTACTCATATCGGCCATCATGATTCACCGCCGCTGGCCGACGGCTCACTGCGATCTTTTGTAGTTTAGTTGTCTTAGTTTGAAAGGTCACTTGTTTCGTCCCATTACATGGTCATCTCCTTGCTGATAAATAGTTGTTGGGAATTGGTTTGGTTAAGGCCGGCGAATATCAAATATTTCTCACACGCAGTATTTTCATCCGTCCTAGCATTAGCTGCTCTGCGGAACTATGCCGAGCCTTACATGGAGGTTCCGGCTTCGAACTATATAGCGTTAACAACTAAATTTGAAATTTCAGAAGCATGAGCATCGTTGATGAACGCTTTGAACACCTGCGCGATATTCTAAGTACTATAAGAGACGAAACTCCGATAATTCCTGAAAACCCATCTGAAGAATGGAAAAAGGAGCAAGAGAAAGTCATGGCCGTACCACCTCCGGGAATGCATGTTCTTCGCCCGTTTATTTCCGCCTATCGTCTAGCTACGCTTTTGGAGGAAGAATGCAACTGCCCATTGAAGTATATAAGAACACGAAACATCACACGCCACTGTAATCGTCTATTCGCTCTATCCTTGGCAGCCTTCAATGGCAGCTGCGGACAGTTCATTCCGAACTACTCTTCCTTCACAATTTGTCCAAAATCAGCAAAAGAATATCGTTTTCCATGTAACACATGTCCCAGAAGTTCTTTTCACAATCTGCAAAAACATCTTCATTTTAGACATGGTTACTCATTGAATGCTCCGAATGTTCCTCTGCTTGATTTTTCACCTAACTCTTCCACCCCACTCGTTCTCCATATTGAGCAAGTCTGGTTGATCTTTGGCCAACTCCCCAAAGCCATCCTTCACCCGTTTAACCATCTACGTGAGGATCCCAAGGAGCAGCATAAGGATTCCGACGGTTGGGAACCACGCCCATCTGCGAAATCTTACTAACCTGTCCGGTACCGTATTACCACCTTCACATACACCGTAGTATTGTACACCTTTAATCTGTAGCAACATCATGAATTATTAATTTACTGTGTAAATAACAAAATAAAGTAACGAAATAACAATTAAATGAGATCACTCGTTCGGGAACGGCCTCGGGCACAGGAACGTTGGGTGGCTGTTCTCCCGCCCACAGCGCCCACAGCGAAGATGGTTCATACACATACTTCCTTCGTGGAATTCGGCGCATCGCCCACACAGGCGATACGCATGTACGACCCGTACGCGATCGACGAACTCCAAGTGGACCCTACACTCGCAGGTCCTGTGGCCGTTTACGCCACACACTACACACCCTAGTCGAGGGTAGATACTGGGAAATCCAGCGTCCGGCCCCAGTAGAGGTGCCACTTCTTCATCTTCATCAAATTCGCCTTCATCCTCCACTTGTAGCGCCCGCTCGAGCGCATGCAAGCGAAGATAGAGCATCATGTCCTCCCTACGGGTTAGGCGACGGGCGCCTAACCCTAGGACCGGATCATACGGACCTTCCGGCGAATCATGACCATCTACGTTCCATATGTCGCTCGCTGGTGAACCTTCTCGCTCATTATCCGGATCTTCCGGCACTTCGTTCTCATCGCCTTCACGATGGTAGCCATTCGGCAGTCCAAGATCTCGTACGCCGAGCCCTCCATTTTCGTTATTCCCTGCTTCATCCGCCTCCCCAAATATCCTATTTTCATCTTGTTCATTGGGCGCCGCTTTAAATATTCATTCATTATCCTGATTATTTTGTTTTATAAGCATTTCTTTACTACCTTTATTATCTGGAACTCCCAATGCCTCCCTCTCATCCCGATCGTCCTGTGCCTCGGGCACCCCATTAGCTCTATTTGGCATCATCTATAAAGCAGAGAATAAAACTACAACCACATCTTTTTGCCACTATATTTGAAGCTCTTTTTGGATTAGAATAAAATAACCTCATTTTAGCATTTTATTTTTTTCACCTTGTTTTCCCGCCAATCTCTATTTACAGAACCAACAAGCGTCCAATACGTCGTCATCAACCACAGCGCGATTATTGCGACACCAACGCAGGGAGCAACGAAGAGAAGCAATTTTTGAAGCGAACCGAAGGAAGCCGACTATGTCAAAAGGAAGAAGATCAAGCATGCCAGAGGAAGAAGAAGAAAGTAAACCAACTACGTCACAAGAAAGAAGCGCAACACCTTTTATCTCGGACAAGGAGCTTCAAGAACAGTTATACAAGGCCTGTAAGATACTGGGAAACAGATTGGACAAGTTCTCAGGCTCCGGGGAAAAGACTCTTGAGGAATTTTTGGATGAATACTCGGAAGTGACGCATGAGCTCGCTATCCCAAACTTGATTTCGCAGAAACTACTACCACTCTACCTGACAGGTGGAGCAAAACTGAAGTACCAACAGATCCCAAATCGAGAGAAGATACCTTGGAAGGATTTGACAACGGAGTTAGCCAAGCGAATGAAGAATACCTCTCTTCTCAGCAACATCCGAGATGAGTTACATAACATGACGCAAGGAAAGGATACCGTGGGAGAATTCGCCAAGAAAATTTACAACAAAACGAAGATCGCTTTCCAGGGACAAGGACAACCACTCATCAAGCAGATGGCCATTGATTTCTTTATCAAGGGCCTCAATCCCGAGATTAAGAAAGCGGTTAGAAGATTACCTGACACGGACGAATTCGATGAGATAGTATGCAGTGCAGAAAAGGAATCCCGCATCTTGGAACAGGAAAGGAAAGAAGACAGAGACGCTCTTCAAGCCGTCAATGCTCTTCTTATGGATGAGAAAATTAATCGGCTTGAGCAGCAGTTGAGTCAGATGAAAGCAACACCACGACAGAAACCCATCAGTGATCAGGATAGAAATAAGTTCAGGCAGATGCAGAGGACAATGCGACTCACCCAAAATCCTTTCTTTAGTCCACGAGGATATTATCCTAGTTACCCACCTTTCCGACAACGTGCGCCACCCCTCTTCAATCGCAGAATGTACAATAATAGATTCCCACCAGTACAAGGAAGAAGACCCTATGGTTATGGAGCACCATTATATGCACAATATAGACCCCTTCCGATAAGTGATGCTCCAGCTCCCGTACCTCCCAGCACCTTCGCGAGAGGAAGGATCAACTCCCCAGGGATTCACTTACTGTGTATCATGACTCTGATACTGTGCAGTGGATTCACAATTGCGAAATACCAGATATGCGGCACAAACCCATATTCGAACATCTTTTCACTTCCGGAATCATTCGATTGTACAACTCCGACGAACGCACCCATGTTACGAACTACGATGCAACTGTTTGCAGATATTTCCAATCCGTTCTGGAGTAATGCAACTAAGTGCTACAGAGATGCCATTGAGGTATCTATAAGCAGTTTTCTCCGTATTCGTACCACCACCACCATATTGCGACGTCGCCAGTTGTCGATCCCTCAAGAACTATGCGCAACGGCCAGGACATCAAGAAAAATACATGATCATGAACTGATTCTGCAGTCGGATGGATTATGGACCACCAATGAAATAGAGGAAGATGACATTGCGATACCACTATGGGGGACCAGGAACTATCTTCGCAGTGTATACACTGTAGAGGAAGGACAAGTCGCCACTTTCGACGGACAGCACATCATGAGTCCATTGGGTGACACCGAGAACTGCTCGTACAGTCAAGGATACTGTCTTACACAGGAATACACGATCATATGGAAACCAACTGAAGTTACACCTTCCTGCAGATTCAAACATGTTGAAACTTTCGAAGCATTCGTTACCCTAAACTACATAGTCCTTCCCCACCCCGACCTCGTCTTCCAATTTTCTGAGGATTACCTTCTGCACGAACAACTCACCAGATATTGTCAGTTGGACACCAGTTACCTTACGACATCAAACCATATCATCACTTTTCCCCAAGTCCCACAAGACCTTACCATCCAAGATTATGTATTGCGCATGGCCCATCAAGAAAGAAGAACAAAGCGTGCTATACGACATCTCACGGATAAAAATGGTAACACCTTTCCGTTTGAAATTGTGCCGATGGAACCTGTATTTCTGACCAAGCGGTTGTTCGGCGTTAGACATCTTAGAAGAATTCCAGTTTTCAACACGCGCCCGATAACATGGCACAAGATCCTTTACGAGTTAAAACGATGGAATATTACTAATAACGATCTCACTCGGGCGACCCGGTACTATAAAATGGATGACCCAAGGCACATTGTTCTGCGTACGATACGGTACGGCGAATATCGCATGAAGCAATTAAATCTATTTGCGGAATCTGCGAAGGTAACACCTCCAAATTATGCCGTGACCAACATCCGACGAGACCTGGAACTGGGTATTTCTCCGATATTCGACGATTATCTTGAGAAGGAGTTTGGAAGAATCGAATACAACATGCCAGGATCGTTAGACCCAGAATGGAAGTCTAAAATCCCCTATTTCAACGTCACCTTGGCAGCGCTGGCAACAACTCCTCCGGCCCCGATAACTCCACCAACCACGCTAGGCAGTCCGACCACGACGACATTACCACCCCGAACAGATCCCCTGACCACAACGTTACGAACTTCATCAGCAGTACAAACAACATCAGCCCCACAAATAACAACTCTAGGGACAACGACGACTTCACCAAGAACAACAACCTCTATGACGACAACAATACGAACAACGATGACGTCCGGAACTCCTGGGAGGACATCCAAACCGACAACAAGGATATCATCTGTTCGAAATACTATGACGACGACGACAACTTTACCATCTACGTCTGTTAGTCCAATCAAAACACCCTCTATAAAAGGGACCTTCCTTTCTACCATCACAACCAAAACCAGTAAAGTAGTATCATCACATCAATCGCCGGAGACAACACTTCTGATGAAATACCATACCCAACCATCAAGTACTCCGGAAAGAATGTCGACGATACCAACGAGTACTACCTCTTCCATTTCTCCATCCACGACGCCAGAAGTCTACCATTTGTATTACCATACCCCACTACCTACCCTACAACCTGTAATAGAGGCCGAAACATCAGCCTCTACCCCATCATGGGAGGAGATCTTGACGCGAACAACGAGATTTGTCTCTATGGATTGGACGGTACCAGTAGTGGATTCTATACTATCAACGGTATCAGTAGTGGATTCGGTATTGACATCAATTATACCTGCCTCAACGACGATCATACCAACAACGGCTAAGGAAGAGGAAAATGCTTCAACAACAGTAGAAGCTGCAAACTTCTCTACAACATCTTCAATATTTTCTGTGCCTACACAACCACCTGATACGGAAAATATTCCTCCTCAAAATTTTGCGGTGCGACGTCAGTTTAACAATATCTGTGTCCGACAATACCTCGGAGCACAACGGATACGCACCCTAAGCTTGGTAGACCCTACATGGGCCGCCAGGATTCTGTTGGGAAGAACTGACATCACGGCCGTACGGACTGCGGACAACTTATTAATTACGAAATGTCGCCAGGTTACACCAACTTTCGTCTATAACAATCACACGGTTAGTGGAACATGTTACATATTGACACCTGTCAGGGTTGACGAGGATCTCTGGTTCCAAATACCGGGAACACAGGATTTGATACAAACATCTGCCACTGTTCCCTGCCCTTACTTATCACCAAAGGATTCTAATTCAACACAGAAGCTTCTACTGCCCAATGCTGTTATCAACGATAGAGTGAAGCCTTTTCTTTTCGACACTCCACCTACATTCCACCGCCTGTTTGATAATCATGCCTTATCATTAATTCCACACATGGAGGCAATCAGACAGGAGCAAGCAAATGTGGTCCTGCGACTCCAGAAAAGAGGAATAATTGAAGAGACATTCTCACGGATACGGAATACCAGCATGTCTTTGGGTCAGTCTCTATTATCCCTTTATGAGTCAACAACACAGAAGCTTTCGGATGGCGTGGAAGATATCAAGTGGTCAGTTATCTATACCATACTTTGGATTGCAATACCCGCCACTATTATTTTACTTTGTGTCGGAGCTTGCGTTATTTACGTGAAGCTCTATTTCCTTAGACGCGCAACTTCGACTGCCGCGTCAGCTATGTTCGACATCGCCAAGAACTTCACCCCGAAACGGAAGACTAGGAAGCAGAAACATAAAGTCAATTTAGTAATGGTGGATTTGCCACCAAGGGAAGAAGAACCTCTCTTCGTACCACGTATCTATGCCGTACAAACGGAAGTACAACATTTGCCATATTTGAAGGTCAGAATTGGCACTAACTCGGTCACAGCGTTATTGGACAGTGGAGCAACTATATCGTACATGAGGGCATCAACGTTATCATTGATTGGAGGTACGAAACCGCCCGCGGGAGCACCAAGAACAGCGACAACTGCGAATGGTACAACAATACAGTTGTCAGGTACCGTCTGTCTGCCAGTCCAGATAGGAACACATGTTATTTCTCATTGCTTCTATGTAGCGGCAGACAAGGATTGTCCAGTCCCACTTTTACTAGGATCGGACTTCATCCGTACTTTGAACGAAAACGGTTTATTGGTTTCCCTTGACCTCCATCACAGAACCATACGAATAGGACCAGAAGATATAGACCTCGTGCCCGTCAATTACATCACACTTGCGGACATATCACCTTACGAGGTACGGCTCGTCAACGACATAGTATTGCCTAGACGGACTAATAACATAGTGGAAGCTCATATCGACGGACTAACATGGCCAAGATGTAAAGACTTCCTTATCGAAGATAATCTACGACCCATGGATGACATTTTTGTCATCAGCCGAGCTCTCGTTACGCCAAACTCAGACGGGACCT